ATTATGTTATGATTGGGGCTCAACCTTTGGATAAGAATCCGCTGAACTGGTGCCAACATCAATAAAGCTATAAGCTGCTTCCTGCTTATAGCCTTGGTGCCTCGTCCCTCTGTTCGAGAATCCTGCAACACAATGGAAGAAGGTAGGACGGGGCGAGGACGTGAGGCTGCCTGATCCTGAGCGGCTGAGTGGGACAGAGGCTGCAGACACCTCTTAAAGGGGCTGCGTCTGTGAGTGGACTTTTGCAGTGATGTACCTGCTTGCTCTGAGCGACAGTGCTGGTTTGGCTGTGCAGGGACTTAAGAGAGGACACTGAGTTGACCCAGTGAGGGCTGAGGCAAGACTCACTCTGTACAGAAGTGCCAGTGGTATCCATTGTTCCTCTGTTGAGCCCTCCCCTATCCTAGTGCTCAGACGCAGCACCGCCATAGCTGAGACATCATCAAACTGGATAACAGAAGTCGCTCTGCCCAGAGGAGTCCCTGAAACTCCACCACCCGCCACTCACAGCCCCACCCAAGCCACACCCAGGTGTATCCTGGAGATTGGTCTCGGGAGTCAAATGCCCCTTGCTGAGCAGTACCTAGTCTTACACTGGTGGCAGCTGATTGCAGTTTCTGGTGAGGCCTCTTGAGGCAACTATAAACACAGTATGTGTGGATTGCTTGCTGAATCTTAATAGCTGGTCTCAGAGGGGCAGAGGCTTGGGCTAAATTTGGCCTGCAGCTGAACCCCTCTCAGGACTGTGCCACTGGACACCTACTACGCAAAGCCATGCTAATAAGACCAGGAGACTTAGAAGCATTGCTTAGTACATAGAAACAGACACAGAAAGGCAGCCAAAATGGGAAGACAAAGAAGCAGAAACCATATAAGAGAACAGAACAGAGATCAAGAAATAATGGAGTCAAGCAATCTAACAGATGCAGAGTTCAAAACACTGGTTATAAAGATGCTCAATGAACTTATGGGAAGTGTAGCTGAATTCAATGAGAACTTCAACAAAGAGTTAAAAAATATAGAAACGAAATGGAAATTATAAAAGGGAACCAGTCAGAAATGAAGAACACATTATATGAGATGAGAAGTATATTATATGGAATAAACAAAGTGAATAAAGAAGAGGATCAAACCACAGATATAGAGAATGGGAAAGCCAAGGACACTCAATCAGAATGTCAAGAAAAAAGAAGCCAAGACTATATTAATAATTTAAGAAGCCTATGGGACACTATTAAAGGTAAAAATATCCATGTCATAGGGATACCTGAAGAGGGAGAACAAGAAGTTGAATATATATTTGAAGAAATAATGATGGAAAACTTCCCTAACCTGGTGAAGGAAATAGATGTAAAACCCCAGGAAGCTTAGAGAATCTCAAAAACCAGGAACCCAAAGAGGCCCACACCAAGACACATCATAATTAAAATGCCAAAGTTTATATACAAAGAGAGAATATTAAAAGCAGCAAAAGAAAAGCAGTTACCTACAAGGGAGTGCCCATAAGACTGGCAGCTGATTTCTTAAAAGAAACTATGCAGAACAGAAGGGCTTGGCACAAAATATTCGACGTGATGAAAACCTAGGATCTACAACCAAGAATACTTTATCCAGCAAAGCTATCACTTAGAATCGAAGGACAGATAAAGAGCTTCCCAGACAAAAATAAGCAAAAGGAATTTATCATCACCAAGCCAGTATTACAGGAAATGTTGGAGGGACTTCTTTAAGAAAAAACATATACCAAAAACAAGAATAACAACTACATTCCTATCAACACGTACCTCAAATGGAAAAGAGTTAAGGTTATTGCACTAAATGAAATGGGTCAGGTAGAGAAAGACAAATATCACATGATTTCATGTACATGTGGAATCTAAAGAGCAAAATAAACAACAACAACAAAAGTGAAAATAAATTCATAGATATAAAGAATATTTTGAGGGCTACTAGATGGGAGGGGCAAAAACAGACATGGAGATGCAGAGTGTAGCATGGGGAAGATGGTAAATAATGTAATAAATATGTAAAGGAAAGAGGGGTACTAGATTTAGTGGGGTGATCACTTTGCGAGTTATGTGGATCTCAGATCACTATTCTATACAACTGATACTGGTATATTATTGGATGCCAACTATAAGTGAAAAAAACATCGAATTGTACAATGTAAATACAAGCAACTAATTGTCTATTATATTTCAATAAAGACAAAAAAATATTTCAATGTAAAAAAAAAAAAGCAAAAAAAAAAAAAAAAGTACTTGTTTCATTTATTTCTTCACTGGCAGAGCCCCCTAGTGGCTCAAGCACAAGAAGGACAGTCAGACTTAAAGACCTGGCTTTTTTTGCATAGAATGAAACTGAAGGGGCTTTGAAATCTAATTCAACTTCCTCATTTGACACATGGTGAAAATGAAACCTTAGAAGGCTGGTAGCTTGTTCTAGCTCACCAAGCACAATAAGCCTAGAGTTTGGCTCAGAACCCAGGGCTCTCAACCCCTGGTCTGCAGCTCTGCCAGTGTCAGGCTGTTTCTTTCATTGTGTAACCTCAAATTCTCCAACATGTTCAGCAAGTTACAGTGTCTCAAGAGAGTGGCCAAATAAATCTTGCTTTCACTTAAGAAAAATCAATGTCTCTGTGTTATGAGTGAAAGGAAAGAGAGTACTAGACTGCTGCAAGCTCACCTCTCCCTTCCCTCTTCTCTGGCTTCGGCATCCTTGTTGGGAAAAGCAGCCTTGCTTCTGTGTGCCTATCACCACTACCAGCATAGAAGAACTGCGATGGGACCGAAGAGAGCCATGGGGACTGGCGAGATGGCAGTCCTCAAAGTGCAAGGCAGCCAATACTCAGAAAGGCACATCTGTGCTGCTCCAGCATTTCTCTATTAGGGCCCTGAGGAACAGCCAACTGGTGAAAAAGGGACTCTGGGGAAAAGCTCTGGAGCTGTGTTTGCATTGACAAGCACATTGCTTTAACTAAATCTCCAAGTTTATATCAAAAAGTGCGTCCTGTCTCACTAAATCGTTGGCTTCCTTTGTACAAAAACTTCTTTGCAGCCTTCTGGGGCTCAGCACATTGCTGTGTGTTGTTTTCTTTCTCTCCATTCTCTAAACCACCAGGACAGTTCGAATCTTTATGTTAAAATTCACTAATTATCCTCTTGTAATTGCAGCATGTATCCCAATCACTTGCATGGCCGTTGGTCTTGTATCTCTGGTGAGATTCCAAGATCTTTATTGGCAGGATTTGCCCTGGGTTCCCTTTCACTTAACCTCTTCCTGGACTTTTGCCCTACTCGCCTTGCCATATTTACACAGCACAATCTCACCCACTCTCTAAAGAAGAGAGCTTAGATCCTAGGGTCTCTTGTATCAAATGGAGGGAAGTAAATATTTAAATTTTGTACCTTTGGTTCCAGGTCCTGTTAATTCATTGCTCTTCTGATTCTCACACCAGCCTGAGAAGATGTCATTCCCACAGATGAAGGGGCAGACTTGGACTTCAAAGCAGTTTCCACTATAAGGAATGCCCATGAACTCTCTTACAAGAAAATGAGTATTCCCAGAAAAAAAACACCCCCTCTCTCTTCTTTCTCTTCCCATGGCTTTTTCTGGAATCTAGAACTGTATTCTAACAGCATATTCTGACTGGCTAACAAGCGGTTCAAGGATTATCAAAGATGGGATGTGTCTTGACTAAGGGCACTCACAATTTACAACATAGCTGGCATCGAAGAATCCACATCTCTTCTCAACTCCGAGGTGGGGCACCAAATGAGGCGTTACAGTAGGCTAGGCATGCCTGGAAATCCAGTTCAAGATGTATCCCTTGCCAACTAACAAAAGGCCCCATTTCGGCAAGTCTGCGCCTCCTGGAGAATCTTTACTTACACCTCCGCAAACCCTCCTCCAATCAAAAGGCAAAAACATTCTTCTCTTTGCTTAAGACAAAAATGAACAAGTAAGGAAATGGATTTTATTCAGGGTATTGCAATAGAGAGAGCACCCTAAATATGAAGATCAGAGTGTCTAGGCAGGGTGGTTTTGCCTTAGACTTTCATAGGGAGGAAGATGGGGTGTTTTATAGTTGGGACTGATTTGTAATCAGAAGTTTCAGTCAGGTGAACTGGAATATTTATCTCCATATCTAGCTAGTTTCAGGGGAACAGAGTTCTAATCTCAGCTAATAATTCACGATACAAAGAATAGGAAGTTGGGGGGAGTCTCAGTCTGCCCTTAGGAAAAAGGGAGCGGAGTCTTTGTCTGACCTTGCCGCGGGTAAACAAAGGGGTCATCTGCAGTCTTATGTGAGCCGTGAAAAATTGTGGAGAGTTTTATCTAAGTCATCGGGAGAAGGGGTGTTCTTCAGTGGGCATTCCCCGGAACACTGAGGTTTCTTAACCATTCCCCTTTCTCGGGAGCATAGGGCTCAAGTAATGTTCAACAATGTCACTCTTCTTTACCAGGGAAACTTTCTGGAAGCAAAAACCTGTACTTCCTATTATTGATCAAAGGGCTGCTTAAGATGTAAATTAAGTTGTTTAAAACAAGATAGAAAGACAAATGCCTTAAAAGGAGGCCTTTTTGGTCACGTCGGTAAAGCATCGTATAGCTTCCTAGACTTCCAACTGCAAGTACCGGAGAGCAACGCGCCACTTCCTCCCGCACGAAGGGCGGGAATATAGAGCCTCGCTACATCTAGGGAACTATCGTTAATTGGCGGAATGATGGAAAGTGTAATTTTAGCGGGTCTTCATTTTTAGGAAAGTAATTTAGAAGTTCTTCAAACAAGGCACGGACACAGAAGCAATAAAGTAACATCATCACCACGGAGGAAAGAACACCTTACTCCAAGGAACGTACTGAACTGAGGTCAGAACTCCGGCTGCTTTCCCAGGGGTCTCCTTTCCGGCCAGGTCGTGCTTTCTTACTGATGCGTCTTCTCATTGGCCGGTTGACAGGTGACGGCGCCTGCGCGCTGCGTTCCTCTGAGGGCGGTGGGCAGGCGCCATTTTGGCCCCAGAGGTGCTTCTGGGAAGTCGAGCGCCGACGCGCACGCTTGCCTGCCTCCCGGTTACGGCGTCTTCTGTCTGGGCTTCTAGGTCGAAGTGTTCGCGTTTGCAGCTGCTGTTCTACTCATCTCACCCTCTAGACAGGCGGGAGCCTTTGAGCACCGGGCCGCGCCATCGGAGTCGCACCGCGGGGAAGGAGGTGACGGGGGCGGCGCGGCGCGCGGACACTCCCCGCCGAGAGCCCTCCTGGCATGGACTCAGAATATTACAGCGGCGACCAGTCAGGTGGGGCAAGGGCCTGGGCTCTGAGCAGGGTGGCGGGGCGGTTACTTGGCGGAGCTGGCCTCGCACCCCCTCTGGGGAGGGGAAGGGGGCCCCAGGGAAAGGCCCCTCCCGGACTGGGCCCGATCTAGACTGAATTGGAGCGCGAGAGCTCGCTGGCCGGCTGCGGGCCGCGAAGTTAGAACCTAGGGGAGGGGGATTCCAGAGGGGAAGCCGTCTTCTGAATCGGCGAAGGTTTTTGATAAAATTGGGAAGCCACTTTATTGTGTTAAGCGTTTAATACGTGCAAAGCCCTAGGGAAGGTCTCTCCTGTTACCGAATTTTTTTCAGTTGAGAGTGTTTTTCGAGAATTCAAGGGAACTGTTCAGTGGTGGAGGTGGGAGCTAGGGTGCGGGATCTTACCTAGGCATTTTATTCCGAGTTAGGGCTAGTTTAGTCTCGTAACACTCATTTTCTAGCCAAGAAAACGTAGGACCCTTGTTCGAATTGTATAATTATTTTAGTATAAGGTGTGTACCAGTGGCACTTATTGGTAATTTTTGTGCCTTTCCTTCCCCTTGAGATCTTTCCTCTTTCTCCTCACTGAAGTTTGGTCTCCTTTCTTACCTGTTGTTTATTCAGTAAACACTGGGCCCCATTCTGCTAACGCTGTGCTAGGCACCAGAAATACAAAGGTGAATTAAGACAGGACCTGGGGGCGGAGTGGGGGGAGAGGGGGCGGCGGAGAAAACGTTAAATTTGCCTTCCCTTTGTGTCTTAGTCCAATTCAGTATCTATCAGAAGTGCTTTAAACGTTAATCTCTTTTCTGTTTTAAGTTCACTTCGATTCTTATATATATGACGGAATAGTTACGACTAAAAACACTTTCTTAAGTATGCACTGCTGTTTTGCTTAAAATACTTTCCTGGTGTTTTCACAGTAGTTTTTCAGTTCATTTGTGTTTTAAAATTATTTCTGAAATAAGCAGTTATGTATAATACATGTTTAAAGACTAAGTGCTAAAAGACATGAAAAAATAGCAGTTCTTAACTTTCTTTTAATATATATTTATCTCCTTCCTAATTTATGCTCTCTTGTTGCATCATTTTTAGGCATTCCGTGATGATTTCTTTTATGCTTGGATAGGACGTTAGCCTCTTAAAGCCCTCTTCTCCCCCATGCTCTCACTGTTGCAATATAATTGTTAAATTTCAAAATTACTTTTTTTTATTATGGCTGTATATTCTTTACTCTTTAGCTGAGTAGACTAACTCTTTAGTATGATAGTGATGCCACTCTTATGCAGCTTTTTAGTTTTCCTGTAGTTGATAGCTTTATTTAAAATTTTTTTTTATTTTTATTGAATTTCTAACCAAGTCTTCCCATATCCTCAAACAGCTCTAAATTCCTCTTAATACAATTTTACTTTATATTTTTAAAGTATTGGTTAAAGTGATGTAGAAATTCATTTTTACTGTTTCATAATAGTATAGTTTATGTTTTACTTTAAGGAGATTACACTACTTCTGAACAGGAGTTCCTTGTGCTTTTCGTTCATAAACAAATACTGTATGTCAAGTACCAGGCAGTGTTCTGGGCTCCAGGGATTCAGCAGTGAACCAAAATTCTTGTTCTTTTGGCACTTTAATTCAATTGAGGAAAGAACTACATTAAACAAAATAACTTGATAAGTCACATACTACATTAGAAGGCGGTAAGTAAGTGCTGTGGAGAAAATAGACTAAGTTTTTAAGAAAGTTGAAATAGTTGCAGAGCACACTAGATGTTGATTTGGTCCTTAGTGATGTTTCTTAAGCTTCACACTTTATGGTGTATTTTTGCTGCCATATATGTCACAATACATGTTATGATTGTTGGTATTTATGTATTATACTGGTTTCTTGTTTACAATATTAGCATCATTAGTCATGCTTCATCAGTGGTAACCTTTGCTCTTACATTATCCTTGATTCATTGTGTTCATTTCAGCTGTAGATGTCCTCCATCTTACACCTTAAGTGGGTTTTTGTTTTATTTTTAAGCAGATGATGGTGGCGCTACCCCAGTACAGGATGAACGGGATTCAGGGTCAGACGTTGAGGATGATGTAAATGAGCAGCACTCTGGATCAGACACTGGAAGTGTAGAACGTCATTCAGAGGTATTGGCTAAACAACATCTTTGGGGAGGCTTTTCCCTTGCATTCTATGAGACCTGTTTTATTTAGGAGTTGTAGAGACCCTGTCACAGACAGGGTATAGGTTTCAAACACTGTGAGTAAAGGATTTTCAATTTATAGAGAACTGCTTTAAAAATAAACAGATAGGGATGGTCTGGTTACTTATGAAATTAAGGGAAATAAGTTCTAGTTTGATCCCATTTTAGATATTATGCAGTTTCTGACTACTTAATTGATTCAGAAAATGGGCCAAGCCTTTGATATTTGATTGCTTCCCCATTCTCAAAAAGATATCTTACTGGGGCAGTGAGCATTTGCAAACTGAAGATATACCAATTAAAATCAAAAGTTATGAAGGTTATCAACTGTCAAAAATTATAGTTCAGAATATGGCTTTCTGAACTGTTCCAATGTACATAATTAACAAAGTACATGTAATTTAGAAAGCTGTTTTTGCTTAATAATACAGAGTAGTATTGGATCTTGTGTACAGCATTTCAACATACATAACATTTTTTAAACTGTTTAATTTGCTTCCTTGGTTATATAGTGTCGATTGTACAGTGTTAACAAAATAAGATTGGGACACTTCAATAAGTCAGTATGAGTTTTTGGTAAACACAAACTGAAACATAGGAATGATAAAGACGGCCAGATTTTCTTGTAAGAACTTGATATACCGTATATTTTGCTCAATTACACGTGCACAGGAAGTTGTCCAATTTTTAAGCAGTAGATACAGTTAGAGATTATATTACTGACTCTATCCTTTGACGTTTCATAAGTATATTCATATATCAAAGCAAATATTTATTGATCTCCTGCTGTGTCAGGCTCTTTTGACTTATCAGTGACTAAATGAGGTCCTACCACTGATATCTTTACTTGGATTTATTTCCCATTAGAGGGAGAAGGACATTAAAAATATACTTTTTTAAAAAAAATTGTATGGTTTCATAGAAAATGATAAATGCTGTGGATGGAGAAGGGAGAAAGTGGGAACGGAGTGAAGGATATCAGGATGAAGGGCAGATTTTGGTGTTAAGTAGGGAAATACAGTAGGCCTTATTAAGAAAGTGACATTTGTATCAAGGCATGAAGGAGGGTGAAGGAATAGCTACATGGCTGTGTAGAGGAAGAACATTCCAGGCAAAGACCCTAAGGTGGGAGTGTGCTTGCTGTCTTTAAGGAACGCCTAGGAGCTACTGTGGCTAGAGTGGAGTGAGTAAAGGACAGGTGTGATTAGAGAGCTAAATGGACTGGGAGAAAGTCTTATCTTTTAGTTATTTTGATGTCATGTGGATTTTTGTACACTCTTAAACATTCAGACTAAATTCTAATTAATCTAGTACTTGATAGGTAGAAATTACTTAATAGTGTAAACATTGCTATGGTATATTTAGTGGGTATATGGTATATCTTAAGTTTCTACTTTGGAAAACAGCATCAGGAACTTGGCTCATGGCCTCATGATTCAGTTATAAACGTAACACAAGCTTTTACCTTTTAGCACCTTCAACTCCTTGTCTGTAATGAAATGGATTCTAAATAAATAAAAATACTTGTTGTCGAAATTAGGAAATTATAAAAAAAGTATAAAGAAAAAATTAAAATCACCGTACTCTTATCACAGAAATAACTTTTTGATATTTTCCTACATTTTTAGTCTTCTTGTATATAATGTATGTGTGCATTTTAAATTACTTGAAGTTTTTCTATGTATATTTTGTATCTATATAATTTCATCTCTTAGGATTATACCTTAAGTATTTCCCCATGTCATTAAAGATTCGCACTAAGCACAATTTTTAATGATTGCATAATATTTCATAATATGGATGCACTGTTACTTATTTAACAGTTTCCTAATTTTTGACATTTGGACTGTTTAGCTATTATAAATGGAACTGCCATGAACATTTTTATACATAAACATTTGTCCTCATTTTTTGCTTGCTTAGAAATCTACCAAGAGAATTAACCAGAATAAAGAGGCTAAGATATTTTAAGGCTTTTCATAGATAGTCCTCTCCAGAAGGGTTATCCTAATTTGCTAAACTACTAGTAGTTTGAGAGTGCCAGTCGTACCCTTTTTAAATGTTGAGTTTTGTTTTAATGCTCTTTTGCCTGTTTAAAATGGCTTCTGAGAAAAATTTTTGGATTTTTGTTTTAGAAGCTAACGCGATGTTAAGAGTACAGTTATATTAAATGGAGCAGTGCAGATTACAAGCCGCAAACCTAAAAGATGTGTATTAGTTTCCTATTGCTTCCTTAAGAACTTGACACAGATTTACTGGCTGAAAACAACAAAGATTTGTCTTACAATTCTGAAGGTCAGAAGTCCAAATTGAATCTCACTGAGTTAAAATCAAAGTTTCTCCAGACTTGTGTTCCTTCTCTGGGGGAAAATCTGTTTGTTTGCCTTCTCCACCTCTGCAAGCCACTTGCATTTTGTGGCTGTGGTCCCTTTCTCCATCTTTGAAGCCAGCAGTATAGCATCTTTAAATCTCTTTTTCCAACCTCTGCTTCTGTCATCATATCTCGGTTTCTTCCTCTGGCCCTCCTGCCTCCCTCCTGTAAGGACCCTTGTAATTATATTGGGCCAACTCAGATAATTAAGGATAATCTCCCTACATCAAGATCCTTAATTATATCTGCACAGTCCTTTTTGCATGTTAAGTAACATTCACCCATTCCGAGGACACGGACATCTTTAGGGGACCCATAGTTTTGCCTACCATAAGTTGGTACTTATAACATGATTTTCCAAATAATGAGACTGAATAAAAAGTTTTTTCCATCTGCATTTTAGAGTTTAGGCTAGTTTTTCTTTTTAAAATTCATTTCACTCCACATGCATTTGTTTAGATCTCTAAGGAATATATACACAGTGCAAACGCACACACGCACACAGTCATTAAGATAGCGATCAATATAAGAAATACTGATAAAATTTTGGAGACCTGTAATTTTTAAACTACTTTTAACAAAGGCACTGTAGTTATTTAAAAATTACTTTTTCTTTAAATAATTGTACCTGTCTATAAATTCTGACATGACAGAGCAAGCCTTAAGAAAATGAGTGTTTATTGTAAATACAAACACGATATGGAGGCTCTAAATCATTCTGTCTAGGAAGTTCTATCTTTTCTGTCATTGATGGGCTGGCCTGATGGCTATTTCTAATAGCATCTCTATTCTTGCACAGTTGGCCTCTTTTTTTTTTTTTTTTAAGTTTTGCATAAAATCAGATATCGTGAAACTCAAAATTAATGCAAAAATATGAACAAAATATTAAAATCTTAAAGTTGAGATCAGTAAGAGTGCTGTGCTGGTCCATATTGCAGCCCGAGGCAAAAGGAAAAATCAGTAATACTTATCCTATTTTTTTAATTTTAATTTTGTTTTGGATATTTTTGCTTTGATCTTCGAAAATATTACCTGTCTCTTTTTTAATAGCTTTATTGAGATGAATTTACATACTCATACAGTTCATCCATTTAAAGTCTAATTCAGTGGTCTTTAGTATATTCACAGTAGTGCACCCATCACCATAGTCAATTGAGAATATTTATGTCGATTAAAAAGAAACCCTTTAGCTATTAGTTCCTTATTTACCCCTCCTCTTCCTACCCATCCCTCCATATTTTGGATATTTTATATGAATGGAATTATTTAATATATGGTTTTTTGTGACTGGCTTCTTTCACTTAATGTTTGCAAGGTTGGTCATGTAGCGTATATCAGTACTTCATTGTTTTTATGGTAAATAATATTACATTATGTGAATATACCACATTTTCTTTATCCATTTGTCAGTTGATGGACATTTAAGTTGTTTCTACCTTTTGGCTATTATCAGTAATGTTCCTATAAACATTTATGTAGAAGTTTTTGTGTGGACATAGGTTTTTATTTCTTTTGGGTATGTTCCTAGGAGTGGAATCACTATGTCTATGATAACTGCTTAATTGTTTGAGGAACTGCCAGACTTTTTCCACTGTGGCCGCACCATTTTACATTCCCACTAGCAATGTATGATGGTTCTGATTTCACCATATCCTTGCTAACTCTTGTTAATACCTGACTTTGATCATAGACATTTTAGTGGGTGTGAAGTGGTATCTCATTGTGGTTTGGATTTGCATTCGCCTGTTGAGCAGTGATGTTGAGTATCTTTCTATGTACTTACTGGCCATTTGTCTATTGGAGCAATGTCCATTCAGATCGTTCATTTTTCAATTGGCTTGTCTTTTTTATTTTTGAGTTGTAAGAGTTTTTTTAAAATAGTCTGGATATAGGTCCCTTGTTAGTTCACTGATTTGCAAATACTTTCTCCCATTATGTGAGTTGTCTTTTCACTTTGTTGGTGTTTACAGCACTAAAGTTTTTAATTTTAATGAAGTCCAATTTATCCATTTTTTTCTTTTGTCACTTGCGCTTTTAGTGGCATATCTAACAATCCTTGGCCAAATCTAAAGTCATGAAGATTTACCCCTCTTTTATTTTAGGAGTTTTACAGATTTAGCTCTTACATTTAACTCTTCAGTTCATTTTTGAGTTAATTTTTATGTATGCATTGAGATAAGTGCCCAGCTTAATTCTTTTGCATGTGGCTATCCAGTTGCTTAATTGGAAGGTCTTGGCACCCTGGTCAAAATTCAGTTGACCATAGGATGTATGGGTTTATTTCTGGACTTTCAGTTCTGATCCATTCATATCTGTGTCTGTCCTTGTGCCAGTACCATAGTGCCTGAATACATTTTGATGTTAGGAAGTGAGTCCTTTTTTCCAAGATTGTGTTGTCTGTTCTGCGTCCCTTTCAGTTACATATATATTTCAGTTTGTCAGTTTCTGCAGAGAAGTTAGCTGGAATTCTGGTAGGGATTGCCCTGAATTTGTAGATTAGTTTGATGAGTGTTGTCATCTTTATAGCATAGGTCCATTGATCCATGAATATGGGTTGTCTTTTTATTTAGGTC